TATGTGTATGTATTTATGTATACTTGATGTTGTTGTACGATGTCCAATTGTAAATTGATCTTGAACCACACACACACAACAACCCACGCAGGATCCATCCTAATATTAACGATAAAATTCAATAAAAATTATGCTGGAAAATGTATTTATTAAAACATTGATGTGTAGTTATTGGGGGAGAGGAAGGAAAGAGGGGATGGGTAAAATATAAGCAAATGTGTGATTGAATCTCCAGTGAGTCTGTTGTCATAAGTATAAGACTAGACTCTAGAAGCAGCTACATTAATCCTTCCATATGGTGAAAGTGTAAAAGAAAACGTTGGCTTTCAGGTAACAATCATTACATCTCGGATTTTAAGTACTGAAAAGCTTCTTAGAGCCCTGTAAAGTGTGATTATTGTCAGGCAAAAATAAATTGGCAAACTATTTTAGTAAGGGGAAATATAATTTTACTCTTGATTCAAACCCAAAAAAACATTCTGAGGATTTAATTTTAAATGTTCCCTTTAGCAATCTCTCACCTTCTGCCACATCATTTTGCTCCATCTGCCACTCCGACTACTTTCAAACCCGACTTAGCTTATTATTCAATTAGTTGGCAATATTTGTTGCCCATTTTGATTGGCTGTCGTGTGCCTTACACAAACTCGTACTTGAATCTCATTAGAAGCTACCTAAATAAATATTCCAGCCGGTATTTAGTTAACTGATTTCCTTTTGGGCCCGCTTTGGAAGCGTTTGCCAGCCACGCGTCGAAAGGCAAACACGACCATTTTTTAATAAACTTCCTGGCAAGGACTTCAAGGACAACGATCCACACCATCAACCCCTTTTTTGGTTGAGTGTGGATTTGTTGGATAAGAAATCACTTCATCTTCGGGCAGGCGACAGTCAATATGGCAATGGCAATGGCAATGGCAATGGCAATGGCAATGGCAATGGCACAGGGGCAAAGGGACAAAGGGGCAACGACAGACAGCAAACCCTTATTTGTATATTGAGGCAAGCGTGTAAATCCTTTTTAGCAACCCCCAACCCCAAACCATACCCCGAGCAGCCGCACTCTGATTCGTTTAGGGCAGTTTAATGTGTGTGTGCGTGTGGCATGGGGCACGGGGCACGGGGCACGTATTTTCTAAAAAAAGGATAGGCGGAAGGGTTTATGCCATCAATTCACACATAGTTATGTCATATGGTACACGGTTCTTGCTCCTTGGTCCCCTGTCCTCGGTGGTTGTTCCTTCTTGCTTTCGCTTCGGCATGTGGCTGTGGCACTATTTGATGTTCAGCCAGTCGTAGGCCATTGAAATCGCTTAAGCGAGTCAAGTCTCTGTCTCTGATGAAGATATTTTAATGGGAGTGCGCCAATAAATTAGGTAAATAACCGCGGTCTCTCTTACATAATACTTATAGGTAAATATATATTTTAAATAATTGCAAAACTAAAGGTTGAATAATTTAATAATGTAATAATTGTTGCAGAAAGGCCACAGTCGCTGCTCGCTTCTGCCAAATGTGCCTGCCCCTGCAGATCTGCACATTCTTTCACATTCCTGCCATCTTAACCTTGTCTTATTGTTGCTTGTATATCTAAAATTACCAAATCTAATTACTAGCAATAAGGAATATTTGCTTTTCTTTGAAGGGGGCAAAAAATAAATCAACTAATAACAATTAAGATCACCTCAGCCTACGCTGAAAAGGGATGAAGATGTATCCAGAATGTTCGCCACTGTACATTAAATTATGGCTGTTATGTGGACCGCAGCTGCACCTGCAGCTTCATACTTTGTGTTTATGAATTTCTTCAAGAAAAGGCACAGCTCCCACACATACTCCCACATATCCCCCCATTGCTTTCCACTATTTTCTGTCAGCCCCAAGCTCTACGAATCCATTTTTAATCTCGCCAGAAATTAAATCTCAACGAGCATGTGTTTACCCTATTTAATTTGCAGACCATTCAGCCCACACCACATCCACCACTCGATGAAACATACATCAAACGGAGTCCAAACGGAGGCCTATCGATGCCCAGCACTCACCCATAATTGGCGGACACTCTGAGGACAGGGACCAACTACTTGAATGTTATCAGTCCCGTGCAGACGTCGACTGTCCAACAAAAAAAAAAGAAAGAAAAAGGACCAGTGATGTCTGCGAGCTATAAACCAAAGAGGGAGAAGAAAATTTCAATTGCATGACCATATTCAAAATGCCTTAAGCCTTAAGTTCTCATCTGCTACAGAGCTGGTACAGGAGTTGGTCCTTGGCCGCTCCTGAAGCTGCTCAAAGCGGGTTGATAAGCCCCGTGGGCTGGTGACTGGGTGGTGGACTGGTCTTTCGGGTGGTTGGAGATCGCCTGCCACAGATTTCTTTCATTCAACTTGTTGTTTGATAGATTTCTCCCGCTGCATTTGCAAATTGAATTTCGAGTCCAGAGAAATGTTTTGTTTTTCTTGCCAGTCTGCCACTCGAGGACGCTGCTCCACTTCATTTATAACAATTTAATGAAATTTTCGAATGCGTTTTCATAACACTGTTATGGCGCCTCGAACCATTAATCACTTGCTTCTTGGCAGGACTAACGAAAATTAAGTTTTCTTTATGCTTTTCGTTTTGCGCTTTTCGTTTCAATGCTGGAATGTTGGATTTGGATGCCTTTTTCTTTGAGTGTTTTCGGGGACATTTGTTAAAGCGAATGAGTTTACAGGGCAACTATTTTAGTGTTTAAATGTATTTTTTTATATCAGTAAATCTTTCTTCTAAAAATTACTTAGATGATATAACCAAGAAAATTGTCGATCAAGTCTCCATTTTCGTCGGTTTATTAGCAAAACTGATGAACTGAATATTCGAAATTACTTTAGAAAAAAAGCCACACGTTTTTGCCAGTTTTGGAGCTAATTTAAAATATTTTAAAAATTTAACCAATTTATTTTTCAATCAGTATTTTAACACAACACAACCAGCCACAATTTCACAATTTTTCACACAAATTGTACGTACCTTCCACAAGTATTTACAATAAATGAATTCAGAATTCTCCTATTTTACCAGTCTACTTGTACATTTCATCTCTAAAATGTATCTTTTATCGAAAAAAAAACTCCCCAATAACTTCCAAAATTTATGTTTCAGCAAAAACTTTAAAATAATATTTATTCGGGTGCATCCAAAAATCACTTTTAATGTGAACATTGTCATTAAACTGAGCCTTTTGTTCGTACGCATCTGGCCCGGACAGATAGATACTCGAGGAGATAGCAGCCAGCAGATTCCTCTGAAAATTTTGGACGATGTCGTGTGAGCAAATGAAAAGTGCTCGCAAATTATATGTCGAGCATATGTTAAATTTCTGCGTGACTGGCTGACGATTCGGTGCTTTGAATTTCAATTCGAAGCAGACTCAAACGAGGACAACGACTGGGAGGCAGCAGACGACGGACACACCCCTTTTTTTTAGCAAAGAGAACATAAGACTTGAGCAAACATTTGACATAAAACAACAGCAGAACGGGAAGCAGGAGCATCGCAATTGAATTACAATGAAAATATGAAATGAGCAAAAAGAGAAGTCGCTGAGAAGAAGGGAAAATCGCATACAAAAATTAAGCAAACAGGCGAAACAAAGAGAAAGAAAAGCCCGAAAGCACGAATTGAAAAGTCTGAAAAGTGAGGGCCACTTGCTACGGCACAAATATCTCGTAGCTCTCAGGACGTAAAAAAAGCGCAAATTCAATATTTGCACAAGAAAACAAATGGGAACGACAAGCAGCACAGGGACAGGGACGAGAACAGGGACAGGACTCAGACTCGTACTCGTAACGACACTGCCCCAAGACACTCGAGTAAACAATAAATGAAATAGCAACAAAAAAACCAGTACACAAAAAACATAGAATAAATAAAGCTGTAACATATGAGAGAAAATGGAAACTTATGGATGCGGAATTTCCAAACTCTCCACCCTGAACAGAACAAAATTTCCCTTTGCAAATGGCCGCTCGAAAAAAATCTTTAAAATGGCAAAAATTTGCATGAGGGAAAAGCCAACCCCTGACTGCCAGCATATATTCACCAATTAGCTGCAGAGCTTTTTAGATTTTTATGTTCTTCTTTGTTGAAGTCTCACAAGCAAAGCCAATCAAGGGGCGTGATGCGAAATCAACACCAACTGCAGGGGTTTGGCAGGGGAAGACTTTGATCCCTTTGACATGTTTACACATTTAATTAACTTACACGCGCCGAAAACTTCCGGACAAGAGAGATAGTCTGTGTCCCTTCCCCCTGCCCCCATGTAATCATACCCAAGCGTAAACGGAACCCACACACAAAGCCCAAAAAAATGGGGCTAAGAAAACAAAGGGATAAAGACTGACCCTTACCCTCCTCCGCCCACCCCAACTAAGTTTTCTACTCTGACAATTTGAAACCAGTTCAAGTGGTTTAATCATTTAACGCACATCATAAAAATCGCATCAAGTGATTTTTATTTACTCGCGCAGCGCCAAAAAAAGAAGCCCCAAAAATCAGGGTTGGTCCATAGATAGGGGTTGGTTGGTTCGGGTTGAGGCGGCAGTTCTGCGAACCCTTTGAAACTCTAGGTGGCTGCTTGAAGTGACAAAAATGAGTTTCCCCCATTAGATAGGGTTTGTTGATAATCATTTCGCTTGAAATAGAAGCGGGGATAGAGGGGATAATGTGGAGCAAGGAAGAATCTAAGGCGTGAAGGCTCTGGAGAAATAATTTTCTAAAAGTATTATTTAATTTCGTAATATTTGTGGGCTGTTTTAGGTAAGGAAATTAAGGCGTGCGCTCTGTGGGAAACAATCTTTTTTTTAATATTCTTTAATTTAATAATTAGTTTTCATTATTCATCAGTTCTAGGTGCATTTTTGATTGATATTCTCTAAGTCTTTCATTGGCAGAGAGACAGGTTGGAAGAGCAATAAGAATCTACCCAAAGCCACAAAAAAAATATGGATACAAAGCCTGTAGAAACGTATGACACTTTTTCAGTTGTTCTTTATTTGATATTTGTATAATGAATTTGAATGGATATAATCGACGACTTATGTGTCTGCTGATACAATTCGATTCGTATAAATGATGCAGAGCTGGTAGAAAAGTTGTACCACAGTTAAACGTAGATCGACTACAGCTAAGCTACATAATAAATATGCCATAAGATTAGTTTCCTATATGTGTATGTATATGACAGATTCATATATCTAACTATATATTTGGATGTTTATTCATATGTGTGTGTGTGTGGGGGATATACTTAAAACAGTATTCAATATTCAGTATTCATGCTATTCAAACGCTAGTCGAAATTTTGGCCAAGACATTCGTTAATGTATGTAAGTGGTATGACAACGAAATTATAACAGTTTATAACACACTTTCGTGCTTGCTAGACGTAAGCCTATATGGTGCGCTCAAAAACAACAAAACGGAAATTCGAATTAAATAACGTTTTTGTGACTTTTAGAAATTTCCAAAACATATTAAAATTCATTAAAAATATGTTTTGGTTTGTGTTTTTTTTTGTTTTGTTTGCTTTTTTTCTTTGTCGTTTTTGGTGTTCTTTGTTTTGTTTTCCGTGAGTGTTTCCTTGTTGTGTATGTACATAAATAAACTACAAACCTAGAAAAATAAGTGAGAGAGAGCGCGAGAAATATCAACAGATTAGCACACACGCTAGTGCGATATAATGTGTGCATGAATTAAGTGTGTGTGTGTTCTAAAATTATGTTTATGGCGGCCATTGGGAAACCCTTTTTATCAGCTATCCAAGAGCAGATGATCCTCCGCAATTCCTCTCCTTCGTTGTGGCATCCCTTTAGGCCATCGGCGTTGGCGACATGTTGCCCCGCGTCATCCTGGTTGGCGATTTGGTTGGTGTCGCTGCTCCACTGTTGTTGCCACTGCCACCGCCGCCGCTAGCTGCACAAACGGCCCCGCAGCCATGCAGCCGAAAAAGTTCGCCGACCGTAATGGCCACCTGGACAGCACCTTTGCCCTCCAGCACATCGGCAGCGCAGCATATGAGATTCTACAAAATATAATACACAAATAATAATTAATTTTTATGAAAATCTTACAATCTTAATAAAGCGTTTCTTTGTCGAGCCACTGAAGTGTGTCTGCAAGCCACTGGTGTGCGTCTGCGCTAAGAGGGAATTTTCACAGCAAATGGTGTGTGTCCTAGATAACACACTCAAACAATGGCTGTAAAACTACGGTTGCATATTGAAAATTTAAATCTTTCATATTTGGTACATTATTTGTTCGTATATATTTTGCTTTGTGATTTGACGGTATAGCGGCTTAGCTTTGACAGTTTTGTGTGCTTAATAATAAATGCAACAGTTTTACATTAGAGTACATTGTTCTTCATTTCCTTTTTTTTTTTGTTTTTTTGGAAGTACATTTTATATAGAATTTCGACAAAAATGTTTGTTTTGGCGTGAAGTTTTGTTGGAAAAACCTTGGCAATACCATAAGCCTACATTCAGGTTGTATATTGTGTATATATAAATGTATATCTGTGTGTATTTTGTGTGTGTTAAATATTGTTTTATAAAAATTAATGACTGATTATAGCTGCCTTCAATGCTGGTTCTTCTACGATATATCCTTTAATAATTTTGTTAGACAAAATATATAAATCTGGATTTAGTATATATAGCTGTATATATGTTATATATATGTTCTTTTAATATATGTTCTTCTGAGAGTTAGAGATTGTGCTTCTTGTAGAAATTTGATTAGCTTTCATTTTTGCTTTGTTTTTCATCGCGGTTTTTTCTCGTCAAGTACGAGCTCAAGTTTAAGTTTAAATTAAATAAATAATTGTTTAATGTTAATTAATAATGTTAGGAATGTAATGTAGCACAAATTGAAAATTAATTTAGTTTGTAAATTAGTTTAGTTACATCAACTAAAAGCGTTTTCTTGGAAATTTTCAGTTAAATGATTGCTTTTGTGTAGAAAAAAGATCCAGGTGGATCCGTTATAGCTTTAGTTATAGAAAGACTAGACTGTTGTCGATCTACAGTCAAAGGCACTGTTTCTGCTGATTCTTCTTGTGTTTTTAATGGTATTTAAGAGGGGGTTCTCATTTAATGGATTGCATTAATGGTTGTGCATCAATCTCAAATTGAGAAGCAATTAGCTGAATGAATTCTCTGTTTACTTGGTGTTCTAAACTGCAAAGATTTCCTTAACAGCTCAATCAATCGAAGCGGCAAAGACTAGCACGTTCTATGGTTCTTTGACACATTTAACATCTTTAAACAGCTACCTATGAACAACCTAAACTGCTTCCCAAAAAGTATGCGCACTTGAAAAACTATTGTAGAACCTTCTTCCATCGTAAGTCTGTATTGTATATCTTATCTAATTTGGTAAACTTTCTGCTATTTCTATGCTGGTTCTTGGACCATTCAGGGGCTTGAAATTGGTACATTGTTTGGTTAAAGATTCATTCTAGAACTATTTCACGCTTTTCTACAACTATTTTGTGTCCCTGCTTCAAGTAAAACCATACAAACGCAACTTCATCCAGTAACAGGGCTACCAGTTGCTCTTCCAAACTGTAACAATATCCGTTCTTTACCTTACCAACCGTTTCTTAAGCGTCTCCAACTAAGTATATAGATAACTCATATTTATCTCTTTTTTGTATTCTAACTAGAGCTATGCACAATTTTCGATTTTTCTGTGGATTTTTATGTGGTTTCCTCTTTTGTCTTTTTTGCCAAAGTGGAATTTAATCAAGTTTAATTTCGTTGCATCTGATCTTCATGATCTGATTTATAAGTGGCTTATCTGTATATGGTTTGCGCATAAGTTTATATCTAATGAAATGAAGCGTTTCGTAAGATTTCAGTTCAGTTCAGTTCATGAAAATGTCAAATAATTGTAAAATTCTTAAACCAATTTAGAGTTCAGTGTGTACAAAGACTTGAACTAGGAATATTTGGGTTTTCTTTCTTGTTTCTTGTCTTTTTGGGTTGTCTATAAAGTAGCTGCAAGGGGCATACACAATTCAAGTTGTTTTGATGTAGCTTCTCTCATGGTCTTATCATTGCTTAAGGATAGATAAAATAAAGATCTTAACTTTGGTTATAGTCAGGTAAAAAAGTACAACCCTAAAAATGCTCTCCGCTATTCTTCATACAGGAAAAAATATTACCTACAACCCAACTATTCTGCATACATTTTTTAAGGTATGAAATACAAAATGCATTTCATTTGATCGCTACAGTCGGGCCATGGTTTTAGCGAGTCTGCGTTAAAGATCTGGTTCAAGATCGATGTACATATATACTAGTCAGATAGATTATATATCTTTAGATGTAACCTATTTAGAGGCTTACTTTGATTTTAGGAAATAAATTTCTAAACTTCTACTGAATAATTATCTATATATATATATATATTAATGCATATGCAATATAATGAAGTAAAAATAAAGTTAGTTTTGAAGTTTGCACTTGAAATCAACTAAGGAAAATGATAGTCTAGCTGCTAGTATTAACTATGTATTTAGTGGCCCATTTTAATGGTAGGAAATACATTTCAGTACTTCTTATGTCTGGCCATTACATTTTTTGTTATCTGTTATTCCTAATTTGGGAAATATTCTTCCTTAGTACATACATCTTCTAGATACTGTTCTCCTAAAAGATCCCATAATATAATCTCTTACTAAAAAATCTTGAAAATTAAGTACAACAAAGATTGCTTCAAAGGAACATAATCTTAATTTAAATAGTGTCACGAAACATAAGCTTTAGGCTATTATAACATACTCGATTAGTTGACAGACCTCAACAGCGCAAAGAGTTACACTTGCTACCACAATTGTGTGTGTGTATGCCCCTCGAAAATCAAAGAATACAAATTTCAAAGTCTTTGGGTTGTCTCTCAATTAAATGCCTCAAAAGTTTCCTGTTCTTGGGGGGTATTCTCTTAGATTTAGTTATAGTAGAAATACATCATAATGCGGTGTAAAAGCTGCGACTTAATTATACAAAAAGCGTTAAACAAAAAGCAGCCTCAAAGAACTCACTACCAAGTGGGTGAAGCCTGTCTTTAATCTTAAAATCTATGGGCAAAATCAAGGCAAAATGAAGCTGTTTAATCGGTTGATTGCTAGCCGGGCAGCGGAAAGAATACTAGCCACAGGAAAGTGGCTATAAAAACGCATGACAACAGCACAGTGAGGGTGTGCGAATCATGTTTGAGCAACGAAATTCCAGCTTCATTGTCCTTGGACTTTAGTTTCTGTAGCTGCTGCTCCTGCTGCTGTTTGTCCTCTGCAATGCGATAGATGCTGAAGACCTCCACGGGGGGCTTGCCATTTCGCTGCTGTTCGAAGAATTCTATGCGCTTGCTGATGGCTTCTTTGGCTGCGGCAGCGGAGACGGGAACTAGGACTGCTGCTGCCTGTTGCTTGGACTCCTCGGAGTGTTGCTGCTGCTTTTGCTTCTCATCGATGAGTTGATAGTGACCAGCCGGTCCAGCGGTGGCCACATCATGCTCGCTCTCCACTATGGTGTGCAATGTGCGATGATTGTTATTGTTGCTGCTGCTGCTGCTGCCGCTCTGGAAACTGTGCTGCCCGTGTGCACTGAGCAGATTCTGTTTGATCTTCTCGTAGGTCTTTTGCTTGGCCGTGCGCAGCATTTGCCCCACTGCCGATAGATGCTGCTGCTGCTGCCTGGCCACTTGATGGCTACCCACATCATCGCTAGCCTTGGCTTGAGCCTCTTTGCCATTGATAAGCTCACAATTCTCATATAAAACATGGTCTAGCTGTTGCTGTTGTTGCTGCAATATCTGTTCTTGCTGTTGGCTGCAGGTTGTCTCAGTTAATTGCTCTTGCTCGTGCTCAAAGTGCTCGTGCTCGTGCTGCAACTGTTGCAGTCTTTGGTGCAGCTCTTGCTGTATGTGCTGCTGATGATGTGGATTTGCATCCAAGGCAATCAGAGCGGACACTGTGTGCAGTAGGGCTAATGCATTTGGCACACGGCCAGCATAAGCAGCATCATCGTTAGCATCATCATCATCATCATCATCATCATGATCGTTCTTTTGTTCGTTGTTATAGCTGCTGTTGTTGTTGTGGTTGCTGCTGCTGCTGCTGTTGACATACACATCAGCATCATAGTCATCGTCAGCGCGTGGCAATTGTTGTTGTTCAATTTGTGGCACAACATCTTCACAGGAGCAAATCAACTCCTGCAACCAACACCAATAACAGAGTTTTATGCATCAGTTTTTTGTTTTGTCTTTTTCAATGTATTCGGGTGTTTGTGTGTGTAGAGTGTATGTGTGTGGTGTGTGTGTGTGGGTTTGTGGTGGTGGGGAAGGTTGGGGATTTTCTTAGAATTAAACTACAATTTTCCCATAGAAAAAAAGCTCATAGCGAAGTTAAGCATTCTACCAAAAGACCAGCCCTAACCTGAATGCTACAGTTACAAAATTACATACATGTATAGGGTAAAAATATATCTAATTGTTTGCTTATAGTACAGTGCGTTTCATGGGCTTGAAAAAGTTCTTTGTACTTATTGAGAGTCAGTTGAATAGGCTACAAAATGATGTGGTGGAAGGAATTTAAGTGAATTTAATTCATTTGAAATCAGTTTGAACTAGTCGGAATATATTCCCAGGGTTTCTGCATAGACTACTCCAGCAATAGCCGATTATAGAGTAGAATACCAAAGCTAGAGATCAAAGTCTCACAAAAGCCACGCTAATAATATTTCCTGGTTTTATCGTAAACAAATCTTGAACTTTCACAATTGGAACGACTTATGGTTCATATTTCTATGTTTTTATATGTATATATTTTTTGACCCAATTGTCATAGCAAAAAGGCTTGCTAGTAATATTTATTTACAAGCTTGCGATTTGAAAAATTCTCTCTGCTTAACTTGTATATTTCAGATTCGAGTGCTTTTTGGTGAACTTTAGTAAAAATTACATTAATGCAATGTACAATCGTTGGAATCAGTTATTTGTGTATGTTAAAGCTAATCTGTATCATTCAATCAATCAATATGAGCCTCTAAGACATAAATTCAGTTATGTCCAAATTGACAATGTTCGATTTTTACCGAAATTGTTGAATTCTTAAATACGTGCGGTAAGAAAATGACAACTAATTACAGAAGATGATTTGCAATGAGCATTTAAAAAGAAATATTTGCATAAACATCAAGTAACTTCAATTCCAGCAACAACAAAACTCTCTTTTATAATGCCATAAAACTTAAGGTTTAAGGTTCCTTTCTGCCTTCAAACTCGAAAACGCACTGCACTCTACTTAAGAAAAACACAAGGGAACCGGTCTTTCAGTTCCTGTCTCATCTACGCACCTCATCCACGCCAATGCGACGACATGCCTCCAAGAAGTTATCCACATTCCGCCGACATCTAGCCATTGTCAGCTTGTTCTGCAAGAAAACAAAAACAGTCAGCTAATTCGAGCAACCAAAAAAGGTGGTTCCCTCCACTCACCACACCAGGCGACGGCACATGAATACTGGCCACTGATCGCGGACGCACATAGTTTGCTAAATGACATAGAATAACGCCATCGGTCAATGCCGATGCTATGTCCACGGGCAGGGTCATCTTTAGACGAGTTTCAATGATCTGTCAGAGAGGTTTTTATTAATAAAAAGCGATCAAGGAAGTCCCCTGCCTCTACTCACACTTCTTAGTTGCGACATCAATTCAGTTTCCTCACGCTGTCGATCAAACTCGCGACGCATCGTGAAGCTCAGCTTCTCCGCGGGTATATCATGATTCCATGTCACCGAACGATGAGTCTTCACGGTGCCCAGCTTGGTGGTGCTGCTTACGGGGGATTTGATTATGACACTCGTGGTGGTGGTGGTAACTGATGAAGATGTTGCCCCACCACCACCATTGGACGTATTGAACTTGTTGGTGCCATTCTTCATGGGACTCTGCGGCTTCACATAGCCCAAACAATCGGAGCTGGCACCGGCAGTGGCATTGCCTGTGGCGTTTGCAGACTTAATCTCTGTATTACGCGAGGGTATCACCTTTTGTATGGGTTTCTTTGGTATAATAACATCATCGACTCCATTGCCATTTCCATTGCCGTTGTGACCATTTAGACTCGATTGTTTCATGATGGACTTTGGCAGTGTGTTGCAGCCAGCACCATTGGTCAGGGCAGCTGTTGGTTGGCTATTGGTTGCTGTTGGCGTTTGATCCTCCTCATAATCATTGGGACTATGACTGGCATTCGGATGCTTCTGTTTGTAGACGCTGGCCTCCTGATTGCGCTGCTGCTTCAGCGCTTCCTTGTATTCTCTGGAAAAAGTTTGATAGTTTAAAATTGAGCCTGTATCCTGTCTGCACACTAACTTGTATGTCTGAATGTTGCTCAAGCTCTTGTTGGTCTTGCCATTGCTGGCATGCAGCGCGCGTTCCTGTGGGTCCTGATCCATCATGAGATCCTCATCCTGATCCGGCGACGAGCTATTGCTTGAGCTGTTCGAGTGCGCATAGCTGAGCTTGCAGGGCGAATTTGTGGGACTCAGCGTGAGGCTCTCATCCACAATCGTGCTGGTGCTGGAGGTGAGCGAAGCGTCCATTAGATCCGCGTGCATGTGTATGGCGCTGGGTGCCACAGCCCTTGGCAACGTGGCAGCCAACGAGCAGTGCAGCGGCGAGTCTGTCTTGGACTTGGGCGGATTGTCGTGCGACCAGCGCTTGTCCAGGCCATCGCTGGTGTTGTAGCCCGAGTCGATCTGATGCCGTCGCTGATTGCTGCTGCTATTGGTGCTGGCCTCCAGCACATTGCCACTGGAATTGTGACGCGGTGCACGTCGCAGCGTGGTGTAGCCATCATAGTTTCCACCCGTACGTGAGCCTTTCTCGTCTTTGGTGGCTTGCGTTTCCAGAAATTTAAACACGTGCACCAGCCCACGCATGCAGAGCTGTAAAGAGAAAAAATTTGAGTTGGGTTGGGCAAATTCTGGGGCTTGTTCGATATGCCATGTTCTACTCACGCTAGCTGGCGGTGCGGTCAGCGGGTTGTTTTCCAGTTGCAACTCCACCAGCGTGCACATGTGGCGTATTTCCAGCGGCAGGCTGGCTATTCGATTGTTGCTCACATCCAGCGACACCAGGCTGAGGCAGGTTAGCTCCCGCGGCAGATACATCAGCTGATTGCTGCGCAGCGATAGCGAACGAAGTGTACGCAGCTCTCCCAGGCGTGCGGGCAGTGCTGACAGTTGATTGTAGGACGCATCCAAATCGGTGAGGGTCTGATCGAGTCGCCCCAGTTCATCGGGCAGTGTGACCAGTCGATTGTTGGACACCAGCAGCACTTGCAGCGGCAAAAAGCAGATCTCGCGCGGCAGCGTGGACAGCTGATTGCTGCGCAAATCCAAATACGTCAGCGATGACAACTGCTTTACCGACTCCGGTATGCTGCGGATCGTGTTGTGGTAAAGCAGCAGCGTCTCCAGAAAGGCGAACGTTGTCACCTCCTCCGGCAGTTCACAGAATCTATTTCGGGATAGATCTGTAAAGGGAAAAGGGCAGCACAAAATTAATCAGGGATCAGTAGTAGGAGTGGTGTACGGCTGCTCCCTTGCCACCATTTTCCACGCATTCCCCGTGCTTGATGTGGAGCGCATGACCTCAATCTGGCGGAGGCAATTTAACTTGCCTCAGTCTATGCCGAAATACAAAACAGATACAAATGTGATGGTGTCGAGAATTGGATAAACTAAGGGAATACCCTCGATGTCCTCTCACATCTCTCCATTTATGAATTTTTTTTTAATTTTAGACTAGTTAAAAATTATTCATCACTCATTCATGTGTGACTGAAAGTACCCGTGTGTAACCTGAGTATAAATCTACAATCATGCCCAACATACCCAGTCGTGGCACTCCTCAAGAGTGCCTCTCTCGAGTTTATTCCAAAAACTGGGCAAGTGCGTGGTGCGGTGCGTGTGGAGTGAGCAATTAATTTCCTAAATGAATTTGCATGCGAAATGAGCGCAAACAACCGAAGAGCTGGGGACCCGACTGGCAGTGTGGGGTTTCACAGCGGGGCATAAACAGTCCAACGAAACAAAGGAACAGAGGGAGATAAAGAGACAAACATAGTGAAAAGAAGAGCTGGAACAAGAGACCTGAGAACAGAGAGGAACCGGCGTATAATCCAACATCAAATTGTGCGTAAAGTTTTGTGGAAAATGTGAGGGAAATACGTAGATTTTTGCAAATTGTAGAGATTTGAGTGAAGATAACAATCGTCGTAGGAGGGAGCCACAAAACGGACAGGGAGGAGTGTTTAATTGTGTGCTGCGTGGGCTGTTGTGGGTTTGTCGCAAAAAGCTGCGTGTGGGAGTGTTGTAAATGATGAGCACAGAATGTGTAAGATTTTAGTTGTAAATTAATGAAAATGGAATCTAATGGAATGTGGAAAATATAATATGTGAACTTGAACTAGGAGCTTTAAGAATGTACTTTGACCGAGACAAAAACTAGGTTGGATGCCTCTATGATTAAATTACTTCCCCATACTTAGAATTTGCAGTATATCCCCAAAACCTTGTTTTAAACATTTATAAGCCGCGACTAGGTGAAAATCTGCATCGCTATGGTCACTATGGATATTCACCAAACGTAATGCTTAAGCTGCTTAAGATGCTCAATAGCTATTAAGCCTTTTAAATTGTTCTATAGTCATGTGGTTTTATTTTGTTATTATTTATTCACTTGCCCCACTTCTTATATCCCGAAACGAGAAAATCTTTTCCACCATCAAAAAGGTTTTTGGTTCCTCAACTTAAATTTTACTTTAGTTGAAAGTTCAACCGTTGGCAAGTGAGTTTCATTTAGGTTAATTAAAGTGCTGACCACTTTAAATCTTAGCTCTCCATTTGGGCATCAGTGCGTATGAAATTTTCGAGGGTCTTAAAAGTCATAAAGTAAGTTTTACGATCAGTGGACGAGTTTTTTGGTTTGTAAAAAAACGAGAAATGAACAAACGTCGGGGCTGGAAAAACTGGCTAGACGGAGGCAGAGAAAGGAGACAGACGGAGGGCAGAGAGAGGGGGGAAACTGGCGACAGCTGCGTTTGTGATTTACGCACTGACTGGCGGCACCCTCTCCCCCCTTCGGCATTCAGCTGCCAACTTCCAACTCCAGGAGCTAAGCAGGCCAAGAGACTTATGGCGGATGGCTGGAGGATGACTGGAGGGCGGGGGGGTGTGCCATAAACAAAAGCGATGAATGGATGGTAGACATTAACCTGCCACATGGAGAGCCTCCTCTGGCTGCATACCGAATGAGCACACAATGATGCAACAACACAGCACAACACGGCACACACAATGATGAACAGAGAGGTGGCATCAGCAGGAAGCAGCAGGTTGAATAAACCCAGGCGCCCAGGCCAATGACGTCAGGATGCGGATGTGGGATGTGGCTGCGGAAATTGGATTTCCTTACGAGAGGGCCAGGCCATCCGTCTCATCCATCCATCCATCGATATGCTATAAGCTGCGACTGACTTTGCACTTTGAACCTGACACTGCCACTGCCCCACGCCTTATGCTAAATGAAGCTGCACGCTCCTGCTGCTGACTGGCAGCCAACACGATGTCGTTTCTGGCTCGGGGCCAACTCTAACGCATTGCGACAAAAGCAAATTTTATTTGTATGCCTCGCAAAAAATATTTACACTAAATCAAATGTTTTTCTTTTTTTGCATGAAACACAAAAGTGGATCGGTGTTTATTTTTGGCTACAACTTTTTTGACCACCTGAGACCTGGTCACCGTCGCATGAAATACTCATAAATATTGCAGAAAGAATCCACAGACCAAAGGGGACAATTATGCAAAAAAAAAAAAACCACGATGAGCCTGCGGAAGGGTGCGGCCTGGTATTGCGGGTACCGCCCAAAACGATGAAAGCACGCAAAATATAAGGGTGAATAATGAGAGAGGAGGATGTTAGTGCAGGGTAAGTGCAGAAAGCAATTGGAAGGGAATATGACAGAGAAAGGTTTGGCATCTATGAGAACATTTTACTTCGAAACCTCAAAACCACTATGGAAAGTTATACAAGAGTAAAAATATACAAAATAAAAACATGTACAACATTCCCCAATGTGTCAGCCTCATAAACTCCTCACATACCACCCAGTACACTACAAATTTTTTACAGAAAAAAAAAGGACACATGACTGTACTGACAGACATTGACTGGACATTTGACGTTGACGGCCGCGTGTTACCGGCTCTAAGGGGGTCGACTCTGCGGTCTGGTCTGGCCCGGAAGCAGCAAAAAATTGAATTGATGGGCGCCGCAAACTATATTGGCAAATGGAGCTCTTACCTCTCACACTCTGCCTATCTTTCACTCTCTCATCTCTCTCTTTATTTCTCTTCTCTCTGACCACATGCTCACCCACATGGCCACAGAGACAGCGACGCAATCCGTTCATTCCCTATATGGCGGCCAAGTCTTTTGATACTTTTTTTTGGACTATGATGTCAATGGCACTCTATCTAAATGTCCGTTCAATTTTTACGATTTTGTCTGGATGACCATTCGAAGGCCTACAGTTGCCAGAGGGGTTCATTCTCCGCTACTGATGGATTTATTGAAATTAATTTGTGTGAGTTTTTATTGCTGAATTGTCAGTGCTAGTGGGGCGAAGAAATTATGAAACATTCATTCCGTGAGCTCGCAATATGTTTGGGACCGTTAGTGAGACTGTAACTGGCACTGACACTGTGACCCTTTGCTTCCCAGAATAACTTTTTCTATACTAATATATGCGTAGTTGTCACATCTGACACAAGGTGAATCAATAAACAATCAGCAGCCTCTTCCCGGGGGACCCATTTATCAATTAAATATTATTTATTTATATACCAATGCGAGGGAATCACTTGACACGCCACAAGCATCAAAGTAAAATCAATATTCGTTATTTATGCACTCCCCCAACACTTCATACTCTAATCAAAATAAAGTAATATGAGAAATGGCAGAATGTTGGCTTGTCTGTCTGTCCATCGATTGATTACATTTTCCATATTGAAATCGGGAAGTACTTAATCACTATCTTGTACTTAATCACTATCTTGTCTATAAATATAACACCAACAGAACCCATATCTGTGACTTGTTTGCCGCTGAAGAGAGTACAACCACTCTGCCAGGGTATCAGACGCTTCCACAGCCCGAATCGACTTATGTAGATTTCTCTGTTTGTTTGTTGTTTGTTTAAGACGATGGAATTCCGCGTACTTTCTGCTGATTCGTCATCCTCTGTTCTGTTCTGCTTCTGCTCTGCACCTACCCTGACTTTTCCATCATTTAATCACAAGTCAAACAAGAGCACTTTTCTGTTGGCCAAGTGTAAACAGCGAACAAAATAAATATTTGTAAACATTTAGAAGCGAAGGCAAAGAATGCCTTTTGATTGCTTTAACGCTAACAAAATCATAGTGGAACAGCTGTATGCAGGCTAGCAGACTTTTTAGACTATTCAGTTGGGGATTTTCATGACTAAGGGATAGCCCTGGCATTTAATTAGCATTACAAGTAGTTTCTCAGATCGAAACGATGGATGTCAATACTTTTAAGGGACTGCTGTGAGACTGTGGAGCAATTGTTGTAATATTTTTTCTGGAGAGAGAGCACATTCGTGAGAGCGAGCATTCGAGAGAGACTTCTTTCAGAGTGCATCATGTGCTGAACCGCGCCACTAGCAGAGGGGCAATTGCTGTTGATGAGCGCGAGCGAGAAGGAAATGTCTGTCCACGAACAAAACCTTGTAAGGAATATTTTTTTTACATACAAAGATGGCTTTTCATGGCACAAAGCATACAACAAAACATTATTTGCGTATCTCTCTATAAACAATAATTGACTATGAATGAGAATATAAGTGGATACCCAACATTTACTAACCCATCTCGGGCATACATACGTAAACGTTCTATCTATTCGCAAAGTTGTATTGCGCAGAAAAATCATTATTTTGCTATTAAAATAATTTATGTAAGTGGATCCCCTTAACCTTATAAGTATATACCCTTGAACTCTACAATTACCGGGGTATTTTAATGAAGAACAGAAGTCAAGCCTGAGTTCTTCTCTGCATTGTTCACCCACTGAGAGGCAGAGAGGGGCTCTTCTATGCTTTATTATCCGCTTTATATCTCAGCGGGAAAGAGAAGAAACGTGCTGTCGTCTCAATTTCTTTGACTTTATTTGCAGCTGTTTTGTAATCTGATCTATCGTATCTTATTCTATATCTTTCCCCTCTCTATGAGGTTGCCCTCTCTGCGGCGCGTGCTGTCTGGGTCTGTGCTGCAATTAAGCAAAATAAAATAAAAACAGCAGCAACAAAAAGCATGCCCCTCAACTATTAAATAATGCTTACACATATAAATTAATGAAAGTGACTCAATGAATAATAATTTCTTGTGTGTGTGTGTGTGTGTGTGTGTGCATCTGTGTCAAGTTTGCAATGCCCCCAATTATGCCACAAACTCACACACACACTCACATGCCATATTAGATTTATGTATACATAACTGTAGATATTTGTGTACATATATTTATAGGACAAGAAAAAGTCGTTTAACTGCAGATAAGCCTCATGCGAATGCCAACAAATTGCAATTTATCGTGTGAAGGCATATTTTATTTTTAAACCCCGTAATGTGGACAAAATGGAGGGTTATTTAGAACTAGATATAATGTTATTTTTTGCAGTTTTCGCAATAGCCGTAATTGAGATATATTTATTGCAAACGGCAAACAACCAAACAGTAAAGAAAATTACATGCAAGCTATGCGAGATCTGGAATTTGTCTGATTTATTAGTCATTTTTATTCCAATTTGTTCTTTGCATTATTTTCCAGACATTGGTAATGATAGGACTTAACTTTCGTTATGAATTTGACTTTTGCCTGCGTGCAACTATTCCGGAAGACGATCTTGAATAATGGCTACCTTTCATTTGTTCTTCTAGACACTTTAAACACAGACACAGACCCCCTAATACTCTTTTACTACCATTACTACTACTCTAAAATTTTTAATTGCTATATTGCTTTGATCATTAAACGATAATCGAAATTTTACAATGGTTTTTCGAAAAATATAGATGTTACTGGTAATATAGAAACATGACATTTTCCAGTGGAATATTTTTTGTTTAATACAATATATTTTACTAATTTTAGAATTCTAGATCTCTGCTCTGCGCTCTCACGCTCTCACGCTCCCATCTCCAACTCCCTCACAATGCGCTCTTTCAGTCTCGTCTCTCCTAGCTCTGTCTTCTTCCCTCAACCAATTTCCCATGCAACCCACGAACCAGAGCAGTTTTGGAAGCACTGGAGATAAGCAAAGTGCCCACACGGTGGTCACATTTCCTCTTTTATGTGCCCTGCCCTGTGGTTTTTTTTCTTCTTTATCGGCGAGGAGGAGAGAATAAATAGCAATAAACGTACAACAAAAAGCACAAGTCTATCTATACGTCTATCCGTCTGCCGACTGTCTCCTCTCATATTTACAATACAAACAAGACACACACACAGGAACATAAACACACGACAAAAGCATTTCCCGCACACCCCACACGCCCCATGCAAGGAAAATTGTTTTGTTTGGCGAGAAGACTTACCAAAACAGAAAACATTTCTTGCTCCCTCACAAGTCCCCTTCCGCAGAATCCCCACAGACTCCACAGTCTGGGTCTGCGCAGCTGCTTTTGCTATTGGGGAGTGGTATGGTATTTTCAGGAAGTTGTGTTGACAAGTTATCCATAAGCGAATGGGTACATGGGTTTCCTTAACATAGGCAGTTTCATTATCTTTAAAATTTCCGCCCAAACTGCTGTCTTTGCCATAGAAATCTTTCATCTTTTGCGAATTTCAAGTAAAAATAAATTAAAGTAAAAGCAAAGCACTTTGCGGAATACCCTCAACGCATTACCGGGCTCTAGCAACAGTTCTGCTTCCGCTGGTTTTTGCATCGAGTTTATGTTAAAAGTCGATTTCTGGTACCGACTTTGTCTTTCTTTTTTTTCTCCCCACTTTTGTATTGCACTGAGTGGCAGCTGCATTTTTTCATCGTTTCTGCTTCGTTTTTATGCTTCTACTCTTCCTGCTTGCTGCTGGTGTTGCACGTTGCAATTATTTTAAACAGTTTCCTGCCACATCGTTGTCTCATGTTGATTTGTTTAGCTTTTCTTACGCTGGTCGAACTTTTTTTATGGCTTTGTCTAGATGCGGTTTTTGGTTCTCTCTCTCTTTCTCACTGTTTGATTTACGTGACACGCGTGTTAATTAAATGCACTGGGCCGAATGGAATGCACTTCAGTTTACGACAGGGCAGTGTATGCTGACAGGCGCCTCCCTATCGTTTTGGGAGTCGCCCTGCCGCTCCATCAGTTTTATTTTTCTCTCCTTTTTGGGGGTTGCAAAAGATGCCGAGAAAAATGGGTGTTTTATTCTCCTTTCTTTTGCCTCAGCTTTCTCTACTCCCATTGATTTCTCGAGAAGCCCTTGCAACGTGGCCCTTGCCACATTTTGTGGTGGAAGCCATTAGTACAAAGAGATGTTGCCACCTCTTCAACGTACATTTATTATGGGGGGTAGATTTATCGTGTTCGTCTGAAGCAAACATTTACCAATATTTAAAGAATATTTTACCCTCAATGTGACTCTGCTCCTTGCATTTATCCTTAGCCTCACTTTACCTTGCTCTCTCTTTTTCTGCTATTCTTTCACACATTTTAATTACTAATTAGTCACGCCTTTCCCCCCATACACGTTGATGACTCAATTATTAATAGGAATCCAAAACAGCCACATAACGCATTGAACCACAGCCAGAGAAACTTCATCATCAAAATGGAAATAAAAACCGGAAGCTCTTTACGCCCCCACAGCCTTATAGAGAAGGGTTTGTGAAAGAGAAGTCGAGGCAGAGAGTCGATGGCGCGTGACCAAAAGTCCCGGACTAAGGGTTGTCACCCCGCAACAGGCATAAGCAGCTCCTACAGTCACGTACTCCACAGAGAGGGGAACAGATTGATGTAAAGGAAATTGAAAAACATCTACGTTTACTAATCGCTTGGAAATTGAATTTCCAAAATTTCGAATGGCCTAATGGATGGAATAATCTCGAAAATCATAAATATTTCTATAAGTTTGTAAAGAAATAATCGCGTGAGGGAAATTCTCCTTATTATATGTATATTGAACGAAATGTGTTGCATTTTATTTCCAAGTATTTTCTTAACCTTTTTATAAAATGAATTGAAAATGGAATACACAGGTACTCAGTTGAGACTTCTTAAGCGGTTAAACTACAGATGCTTCATACATGGCAGCGGAGTAACATATCTGCGTACATAGGGTCAAAATCCCACCAATCATCTCTTTGTTATAGGGAGTAAGACAGAGGTAAATTAAACTTGGTTTAAATTTGGTGCATATTTTTACATATTTATTCTACTACTAAGATTAATTTATAAACATAATTAATTTTCCCAAAATTTAATTTTATCTAATTAAAGTTCCATTCCCAATGCCACAAAAATTCCATAAATGACTTAACAATTTATGACACAATTTATTTTTATCTTTTTGGGACAATTAATCTTTAATTTCTATAAATAATTCCATATCCTTGTGCCTAACTTTCATTCGAGATAAATCCACTTCACACACACACACACACACTTTGGCGCACCCTAAACACAAACAACCGGTAAAGAAAAAATCGATAAGCGACATATCCCGTATGCGTCTGGCTCTGCCTGGATGGAACATCTGTTTCGGGGTAGGAACAGATGGTTTGGGTGTACCTACACATCAAACAGTTTCCTCTTGCTGCCGGGTGCATATTTTGGCCCTAACAAAAATGAAAGTTGGTTGAACTTCACCCAAGTAATTTTCGACCAATTTGCCGGGTGGCAGGCAGCAACAACAGCAACAGAGCGCACCCTACAGAATGCGAATGGTGCAAAGTGCACATGGAAGGAAGAGAAGAAGATGTAACAACAGCGACAATTACTGTCCTTGGGCGCGGAAGCGAGATGGCAAGTGTGATGCGTGGTGGTACTTCGTTATACAAAGTCATAAAAATGTGAAAGTACTGGCTAAACGAGGCAGCAGCTGCCGCTACTTTGCAGTGAAATCAATAATGTGTGCTATAAAATTGCTGGTTAACCAGACCAAGGCATTTTAATGCATGAAGAAATAAATGTAATGTAGATTTTTAACATATTTTATGTATTTATACATATATGCACTGTGAATGAACAAGAGGAAACACCACTACAGCCAAGGAGTTGCTTATTCGTTCAACCAGTACTTAAGGAGAGAGAGCGAGAACACGGCAAAGAGAGGCTAGTGAGCAATGAGCAGCTGATGGGATGGCAGAACCACAAGCAGCAGCGGCTGCTGCAGATTATTGATTTTCGAACAAAAGGAAAATGTTGCCATGAGGCGGCTGCCCAAAGATAAGAAAACGCAGCGGCAGCGGTCGCATCAGGCAGACACACCTTCCCACTGCAGAGCCGCGCCCAAAAAATATGAAAACACAATGGTACGCACCTGCAATTACCGTATCCGTGAGTGCGTACTTGGTGCCCGTCTTGGGAAAGTCCTTTAGCTTGCGATTGGTGAGGATTAGCTCCCCGCTGAAGTGCGCCTCCTCCAGGATGCGCTCCAGGGAGCGCGTCAGCTGCGAGTGACTAAGCAGCGCCGACGATGAGGAGGAAGCGCCCGGCGAGGCGGACGAGGAGTAGGAAGTGGAGCTGGTGCTGGGGCTGCCGACGGCGACGCTGTGTAGGCGATGGTAGACCGTGGCAGCCATTCTCGAGCGTGTAGGCGTGGTGGCGGCTGCGACGTCGACGGCGACACACAAAACTAACACACACACACACTCGCACACGGGGCTAGGGGACGCACTATCAAAACTCTAGAACTATTCACACAAAAAAACGCGATTAGATCGTAGGCATTTTTGCTGCTTTTATTCTGAATTATGAATTCTAGCAGCTAACGCTGAGAAATGCTCATTTGATTAGGTTTCCAGGAATTGGATTTTCCTTTTTGAGGCTTCCTTCCTTGCTGCGGCTTATGCTTCCCGTTTGTTCACACACAGCACATCACAGCACACACACGACCACCGCAGACGAACAGAAGCGAAAAACGATGAGAGAGAACATACGAACGAAGCGATGCGATGCGAGGCGGGTGAAACGACGAAAACAAAACAAACGAAGATAGGGATGTTCATGTGACGTGCAATATATCGATATAAATGACGATATGGTTGTGGTCGATAATGGCGAAAATGTCTACATTTCAGATAGATAAATCATATACGGTGCAAGTTTTATGATATCGAATCAAATTCACTCTATCTGTCTGTTATTCCACTACATTTATTCTGATTTATTAAGCACATATTTTACATGAGTAGTTGCAAAAGATATCGATATTTTGGTGTCATTACTAGCTCATTTTTGCACTGGGGGGCAGAGCAACTTCTGGCCAGCGTTCTGTTGCATGAACTGGCAAATCTTTACACGCTAATTTTTGGCGCCTATAGATACATATTTATTTAATATGGATAGGTTAATATTTTAAATACAATTCTTGGGGCCTCATTCAGCAGCTCCCAACACCCCATTCGCTTGTCATATCGATCTATCGCACAGTAAACCATCGCCAGCTGCATTGAAAATTCTACGAAAAACCCATCCCTATGGCAGTACAACAACAAAATTCCAACGCAACGCTAAAAAAAAGTGGTAAAAAATCAGAAACTAGTTTTAAATCTTATAGTAACTGTGTGTAAATATCGCAGCGTGGTATGTTTTAAACCCTTCACGTAGTACGCTGTAGAAATTCAAGCCTTATCTTATCCGCTTCGTGTACGTACCCGTTCCCCTGCCATCCCGCCTCTTTCGTTAACGACCCATAACTGTGTCAACGGCATATTCGCGTGTGTGTGAGTGCTTTCGTACGCGGTTGTGTGTGTGTGTGTGCAATGAGTGCATCAATTGATAAGCAATTTATTTCAATTTAAATATAATTCAATTTAAAACAATCTGTGCATATCACAACCCAAAATCGTCTTAAAATAAAATGTGTAAGCCTTGAAAATAGATCGCATAATTTATGCATATCTTATGTTTCCGCATTTTTTTTTAATTCATAACGAAGCAGCTGCATCAACAGCAGCAAAAACAAAAACGGGTTTTTGTTTATTTTTTCAAGACCACCACCGAAAAACAAAAAAGAACCGCTCCAATCAGCTGTTGGAGAGCGGCTAGCAAAAAAAAGAGAGAGAGAGAGAGCGAGCTGTGTGTGCGCGCCAAAAACGGCACTTGAACGCACAGTGTGTCAAAAGCCTGTGAAAGGCTGATGAAAAACCTTCTTAGCAAAAGGAAGTTAAAAAAAATCTACTCCTAGTGCAGGTAAGTGCCAGTTTTCCGAATTGGGAAATTATAAACGGATTTAACTGTCTATTTTATTTCCATTAAATGGAATTTTAACTAAGCAAAAATCAAAATATTTTACGACAGTTTCTATTTCGGCTTCAAGTCCGTTGTTATACGCGTGTGATCCCATCAAGCAAAAAGTGAAAAAAAATAGAAAAAATAGTGCAAAATGAGTGATAATTCGCCGGATACGCCTGCGGAAGGAGCAGCACCGCCAGCAGAAGCAGCAGCAATGGAAGAACCCGAGCTGGCAGTGGCTGCTTCAAAGATACCAGGGCCCAGCACTCGCTCGAATATACCCACGCCCGCTGCCTCCATGACGGGAACAGCACCACCCGCCAGCAGGCTGAAGGCGCCCTCCAACTTCGGCTCCACGAGCTCCATTAGCTCCGTGTCGAAGATCGGGAGACCCTGCTGCAATCACACAACGCCCAAGTCGGGACCACCACCCAGAGGTGAGTTTATCTCAATGTTGTCTGATCTTTTAAGTTTCAGATGTGTTGTGCGGGTTGTGATACAAATTTGGATTGAAAATGCATACATAGGTCTATAAGTGTGTGAGGGATGTGGAACTTTCTCGTTATTATATTTTCCGGTAAAAGATATTGCTGGGAAATATTTAAGTAGTATATCCAAGTAGACATGCACCATGAGAACACCCTCCTGTGAGAGGTAGCATTTGAAAATCAAAGAACATTTTTACTTTTACTCCAATTACTTTGAATAAAGAAACTGTGTGATGTGTTGTTAGGAATAATTCTGTGGATTCTCGGAAAACATTATTGGGAAACGTGAGCTTTGGACCATTAATCATTTAAAACTAATTAAGAACTGTTTGCATCTTTATTGTCCATTTCCTGATACCCAAGCAATTACAATTTTACATTGAGTTTTATAGATCTGTAGTTGGAAACCAATTGGTATGAGTAATATCTGTGTGGTTTTCCGAAGTGAAGGATTTACGACTTAAATTGTAAACTAGAAAGAAAAAAGAAAATGGTCTCAGATTACAAATTCCAAGCTCTTCTGTATTTCACTATTCGAAAGATTATTCTTGTATTCTATTAATTTCTACTACTAATAAAAGTAAATCTACATTTATATCGTAATTTGAGCCCTTAAAGACCCACATTTTCAGAAGAAAAGGGACTCATCCACTTACTCACATGTCTAGTCCGATCTACAGCTACATCGTTTCCCCATCTTCGATTTTCGTCATTTCATTTCAAAACTGCACTTAAATGTGCAATGTATGTTTCCATCTGGGCTCAATCAATTCAGCTGTAATTCCGGTTATAAGCGACTAAAACCACTTACAGGAGAAACACCCACGCCATGTAGGCTATGTGTCTCATAAAACTATACATAGAATAGTATATAGAGGCAATGATCTAATGGAAATGATGATGATGATTACGACACACCCACACACTTGCTGAAGATACAAAAATATAAGAGAAAAAAAATATACTTTGAGTGCATTTTTATTGCATCACATTTGACCTCCTCCTGACATTATCAAAGCGAATCTGAGAAGAAAAACAAAGGCGATCCGAAAAGAACAAAAAATGTATTAGGAGAAAACCTCAAACCAGCCTCTATGCTCCTGGTTCAACTTCGTTTTGAATTGAGTTGTAGACCGTTTTGTAGTTCCCACCATCAACTGTTTTGTTGTGCCAACAAATATTTTACTTAATTATTAACAGCACTTGAAAAACTCCAACGCACAAGACGGCAGGCAGTAGACAGCAAAAGCAAACAAACAAATTGCCACTCGCCCACTCTCTGCTGCCGGCCACTCTCGATTATAATTATAGACCACCGAAAAAGTGTAAGGAGAATTATGGCCAATTAATTAAGTGGCAGCTACCATTTAATTGAGCCGCCTTTTGTGGCACATTTCATCAGGCACGTAATAACCGCAACACCGACAACCAATCGACCGCCGACCCACTAGCCTATATAGCAAACGATCTGTCTAACGATCCATCGATCAGCGGATCATGCGATGGGTTTTCTATTACACACACCGCTCCACACTACATCCAACAATTCACAGTCTCAATGCAACCGCAAAATCCATGGCAGGAAGGGGACCGGTCGGGGATTTGGCCAAAATAAAAATAGAGCAACAACGCTGGCAATATTGTAACATATTTCATTGTAAACTGAATCACGAGCTCCACCATGCAATACGCTCGTACACGCATGGATATTTACACTTTCAAGTACAGTGCATTGCAAAATGATATGACACTCACGAGAGCCTTGAAATTTATGAGATGACTCTGCTCCTTTTGCGACTTCTACACCATGAATAGAATTTAAGTTTATTTTGCTTATTGAATTTTCTAAATCGAGAATGTTATTTATGTGGTAGAAGCAATTAAAATAATTGTACTGTAAACAAAAACCAAAGAATTCCCTACGAATCTGTTGGAAGCTTTATGATAGATGATCGAATCTCAATAATTTCTACAACCTTCCCTAGACTACCGAAACGTACTGTCTCTACCTTTGTGTATGGATGTGTGTGTGCATCTGTCACTCATTTCATGCCATTTCATGGCACCGGACTCTCAATGTCACGCGAATGAGACGACCTGCGGACCGGCCGGCAAGTCTCTCTCTCTCTCTCTAACTCAACGTCTCTCGATTTTTCGCTTCCCCCCTCTTGCGCTTTCTTATAATTGAATTTGTTCTGGCGATGACACAGAATTTGATGTTCTAAATAGGCACACACAGACACACACAAATAGATACAAAGCAAGATGTGTCTGTGTACCTAATTTTTTCACTGCGCATTTGTGATGTCTGGGTTCCGTTCTCTTCTTGTTTCAGATCAAACTGATCTCTCTTCTCTCCCTGTCTCTCTCCTTGTGGTCTGTGTGTCTGAGACCGGGACTCGTGGATGAGCTTATGTCACTTTTATTGATTTCGATCGGAACAGAAAGTGGGGCCACGCCGGGGCCACTCTCCCTCTTTGCTTCTCCATAAAACTGAAAGCTCATTTGTCTTGGACTGAAGATCGTATCTCTGGGGCCTAATGGATGAGCGCTGTCTCGAAAGAGGATTACTCCGTTAGAGTCGGCTTTGTTTTCGTTTTCAGTGGGAGAGTAAACATTGATGTTTATATTGACTAACAATATTTGTTTTGGGCATTAACTATAAGGATGTTGGACAATTGATGAAGTTGTCAGAACCTATATTGGAATTAAAGACACGTGGGGGATAAAGCACTTAAATGGAATTAAAGTTGGTAAAACTGTTAATGAGAATGTAATAGAGGGAGGAAGTGTTCTCAGGTGTTTCTTGATTTTATAAATGACATTCATTTATTTGCATTTCCGCCCAATAAATAATGGTTTTATCTCTTATTTTTCTTCCTCTAAAAACAGTTGAACTACTCCTGACCCTGGAAGATGTTTAATCAAACACATTCGCTTTAGATTAGTAATCTTTTTTCAGAGCTATGCATAAAAATAATTTACTTTGATTATCGCATTCCCTCTTTTAAAAACTGAATCTCAGGTCTAAAGATGTGAAAACAAAACAAATTTAGAAACGCTCTGCAAAGTTACTCAGAACTTGGGCATGGAAATATTTTTAAGGGCACATTTATATCTCAATCTATCATTGACTCTTATCGCATACATATGTAATGCTGGAAATGTTTTGTTAAAAATGTTTCTGCACTTATGAGAAAAGGGAAACTCCATTAAATTAGTATTCCAAAAAATTCTCCACTGAAATCGCGACACAGAT